AAATTAGCCATAAAAATTGATAGAAAGAAGAAAGGTCAAGAAGAAAATGGTGGAGCACTCACACTTAGAGTTCTGGTATGTTCATTCATCTTTCATTTATTCTGGAATTCAGCTAAATATATTTGGAAGTTTTGAATATTGATAACTTATGAGTTTACACTTACTTTCTTAACTCATATATAAATAAAATAAATTACTAACTGCAGATAGTTTTTTAGTAAAAAAGAAAGTATTGATGTTCGTACTTGTTAATTAGGTTGTTGTTAAACCTTTTGCTTGAATTAAAGTCTAAAGATATTGCATAAGATATATTAAAAAGATGATAATATATATATTTAAAAATTTACATCACAGTTACATCTGGTTAAATAATTCACTTGATATTAAAATAGATAGTGTTTCCATGCGACTAAATAAATTCACAAAAATATTTAAATTAAAAATAACGTTTACGAATATTAAAAATATTTTAAATTCAATTGAAAACAATATTTTAAGGTATTAAATTTTTAAAAATTACTAAGGCGTAAAACATAAAACAATAATCATTAATACATAGTAAAAAGTATTCTAAATAAAAATATGATGTATTAAAAGAAAAGAAAAAGTCCAACTATTTTTGTATCATAACATGATTTCCGAAAATAGTGAATCCAGATCTTTTGAGATTTCGGATAGCAATTATGGAACATTTAAGCTTAATTATAATTATCAGAACTATCATTAATTAGCATTGCTACAATGAAGTAAGTTACATTAGGGATTATTCTTCAGAGTTAAGAACTCATGACCTGACTGATAGACTTAGGTAAAGTTTGGCTTCTCCTCAAACAACATTAAGGATGTTTTGTTTATTTGCTCCCTTGTACCTTTATATTTTTTTCATGTCTAGTTCTTATACTTAGAAATTATTTATTTTAGTTTTAAGTTTTAAAATTTACTCTTTTAATATTTGTTAAGTTTGGTTCAAGATCTATGCAAACTCTGTCATGTTTATCAGTTTGATAGAACGTTTACAATAATTACAGAACTGCTATGCTACTACTGTTTCTACACATTCACAAAATTTTATCACTTTTTTTTCGAGGGAAAACTCCTTTAATTGATCAATGAACAAGCCAAGGAAGTTGAAGCAAAGGATTTACACAAGAAGTCCTTCATCAAGCTTACATGCCATTCCACGCAGCTCAGATATTTTGGTTTGCGATAAAGATATATGAACTAATTCTAACATCTAAGTAAAGGTATGCTTACAAAAAAGTAGAAAAGAATGTCCAAGAATTTCTGCCCGACACAAATGAAGAAAAATGAACATGCATCATGGAGTTTCATCAATGGTCTCCAGCGCTGGTCTCCAAGATCTCTGTTTGGAGTACCTTTCAACTGGTTCTGCCTCCCTTACCACCTGATTCGCAGCTTCTAATCTCTTAAGCTCCGAAGGGAACATGCAAAATTCACTGAAAACTGGAAAAATCTTTCCCAGGTTGTTAAAGCTTGCATGCTTGGTTGCCCTTGATGCTTTGTAATTAAGAGAGCTCATTTCTTCATGGGTTAGAACAGAGTAGAGAAGCTCCATTGGTAGAAGGAAGTAAAATTTGCGCCTTTCGAGTTCCTCATCAGCTAGGAGCCCTTGAATGCGGTGTCCCACTTTGAGGTAGGTAGAGTCACAAACAAACTGTCCAGGGTATTCTAGCATCAGTTCTGCAGCTCTGATTGGTTTTGTGTAGGACTCTAACCTCCCATCCAAGAACAACACCTTGAAGACCCCATTGGCTGTCAAGGAAGGTGTGCAAGAAGCTGCGTTGCCCATTTCTGAGAAAGACAGAAGGGTTTCAAAATTGGTAGTACTTGGTATTTTAACTTTGAAATGTCAGAGTATTTATCAGGGAAGCTACCTGGTTGTTAAGAAAGAAAGAAAGAAAAATGGCTGATTGTCGTTTTCTGCCTCAAGGTCCATGGTTGGGTAATCAGTTAGCATATCTTTATTTCGATATTCTGATTTTAATATTTTGGTACTGAAGTTTGTCCTAAGTGTTGTTATATCTTTATAACTAAGTTTCCCATCTGGCAGAGGCTTAGTTTTATGCAGGTACGAAATTAAGAGAAAGTGGGCGTGTCTTTGGGCATATAATCTATTTGCCCCTTGTGTTAAAGATCATCTTTTTTAATTAAAGCCACAGATGAAGGAAATAGGCCAACCTGGAAAATTTTGGCCTATTTTTACTTCGATATGTGGAAAATTGACGCACATAACTTTCCAGTTTGTTTAATTTTGTATTTGTTAGGGTCTATTTGTGGAGAGAAGTGGAGACTAGTTTATTGCAGTGCACATGGGGAGGGATGGAGAAAAAGCTACGGGATTTAGATAACCTCACTCAAGGACACTACCAAACTAATGATTAGATATGGTACCGTGTAATTTTATTTTATTTTATACCATTTATAAAGGATTCACCTGATATCTGCTAATGTCTACACATGCAGTTTGTTTTGGTTGATATGAAAAGAGCATCTGCATTTGAGGGCAAACGTCAAATCTCTTGGTATCCAGTCACCATCCAATGCTAGCTTGCACTATATTCCCATCAACTCATTATATTAATTGCCTCAACATTTCTCTTTTGCTCACTTTTACTCACACAGCTAATTAGATGAACAGTCTCTGTTTTGTCAAATCTTAAAGAACAGCTGAAAGAAAATCAACCAATTTTTCGTTTGATAGCTTCTTAGTTTTCTTGGAGTGTCAGGATCTAATTTTAAGATGTTTTCTTGTAATAAACCTGTTGGGAGAGTAGTTGGCGAAAACCAAATTCACAGGGTGTAAAATTTGATTGAAAAAGATAGGTAAAACAGGTATAAGTATTAAATTTGCCTGCTGAATTAACAAATGAAGAATCTTAAGTAGGACAACTAAATGATTGGCCCATAATTAGTTGTCATAGGGGTTGAATGTACATTGAATGTTTTATCTGATGGGTTTTCTGCTTGTTTCCTATCCAACAAAAGGAATGATTGGCAAGCAGCGGTTCGGTTGTTGCTTAGATGGTTGACATCAGCCACAACATAAAAACACAGACTTCACAAATGTTAAACTGCTTGCTCTCTTTCCTAATTTCTTCTAGAACCCAATATTTGTCTACGATCATAATATGAAATGCAGAACATGGAAAAATGAAGTAATGGGAAAGCAAAAAGATAAAGAAAAGGAATTTAAATTACTTACAGATATACTTCTATATTTTGTACTTTTTATAGGCACTGAGTATATATGTTCATGCACAGGCAAATTGGTTCCAGCTCCAACTCATACAACTTAAAGATCTCTGGCCAGTTAACACCAGCTGTTTGCTTTGCACCAAAAGAAAATCAACAATAATCATAAAGACCCCTTTTTTCTGTTTGCTAGCTCAACAGTAGCAACTTTTGGTGCCCAAAAGGGTTGTATCGTAGAGATATTTTATTAATTAAATCCGTAAAATGTTTTTAAAATTAATACATACGTATATAATAGTGATAATTGTATGATTAGTTTCTATCAGTGGTCAAGGTAAAAAAAAAAAACCACGACATTGGGCTAGGCGATAAAAAATATCTTTTATACTATATATACTGGTTTGTGGTGTTTAAAGCAGTGAGTGGGACCACACCAATGAGTAAGGGACACGTATGGTGGAACAGGGATTAACGACACGTTGGGACGTTGAACTCGAATAACCTCATCTCCAACGCGTTAACGTTCTCCACTCATCACTGCCGTTGGTTCTTCTTCTTCTTCGTCTTACACAGGTAAATGTTCATGTTTGTACTTATCACTTCTTTAGAACGCTCGGCAAGGTTTTATGTTTTCAAAGCTTGCTAATTGCTGCGTCAGCTGATTGCTCTTCTCTTCAGGGATGGCTTATGTTCAGTATGGAAATGCAAATTGCAACTCTTTATTCCAAAAGTTTGCAATTTTCCATGTTGGTACTTCTGCTTTGCCATTCTTCCAGCCGGGGGTAAACTCTTGTACAATTTTTAACAGAGGTACGTTAATTACTCAACTGCTTCTGTAATTTGTGTTGGCTTCATTGCAATACGATGCATCTTTTCTTCCCTGAAAATTGCAATTATTTTTTAACGTAGTATGTTCGTATTTCTCTGTGCTAACTGTCCATGAACAGTAATTCCCCTGTGCTTAAACGGAAAGAGGAGTTTTGCTTTGTCAGAAAATAGAGTTAATTGCAAGTTGCCAAAGAAAGAGAGATTCTTTATCCCTACAAGTAGAAATTCTTCCAACCCTAGTGGAAGTACGGATGAACCCTCTAAAGAGAAAGAGGTAAGTATGAGTTTAGACTATGAAACTTGAAATCTACCGGCCAATGGAGATTTTATTTGGCTGGAGTGTGCTATCAGAATTATATTTTTAACTATGAAACTTGAAAGAAGTTAAGGATAATAAAACACGGTTGCAAAACCCAAATATATGTGCTATGTTTTTGCTTTTTTTTTTTAGTTAATCCTAAGTTCGAATGTCTAATATGGTATCAAAATCTACTATAATGAGGTTATGATATTTTATGCTGATGTCTTCTGAAAATTATGACCAGTCAAGTGGTAATTAATGAACATTTAGTGATTTGGTTGTGGAAATGGGTTCAATAAACGGAAAGTAGAAAGAATGCTCGTGTGGTATTTGTCTGATTTATACTTAACTACTCTTCTGCTTGCTTTATCAGCCGTGCCATCTCAAGCATTTAACAAAATGAGACACCTGATGGTTATTTTCTTTATGATGTTACAGAAGACACCATTTGGATATACAAGGAAAGATGTCCTGTTAATTGGAGTTGGGGTTACTTTACTTGGCATTGGCTTAAAAAGTGGATTAGAGGTACCTTGCTTTTTTCTTATTCAACATCTTTTTGTTTTGTTTTTTACTATTTTTTGTACTTCAACATCTTTTTACTCAGCTCATTCCAATTCATAATTGAGAAAGTACGTATCCTGGAGATTACTAACAAATGGTTCAGGTTCCTTGTAAATAAAGAAGTGTACCTACTTTGAATTGCTTTTGCCAATGATGCAATGGATAACATATAGGCACTTATGTACTAGGGTTAATTCACGCAATTGTTCTTGGATAATTTTTGCAGTTTGCTGGAGTTGATTCACTACAAGCAGGAAATGTGGTTCAGCTAGTGCTAGTTTTGGGCCTCACAGTTGGGTGGATCTTCACATATGTGTTCAGAGTTTCAAACAAGGAAATGACATATGCACAACAATTACGTGACTATGAAAGTAAAGTAATGGAGGTACAACAATCTTAACAGTGTTGCTTTTTGTGCCAAATCTGCGAAAATAATTACTTTTTGGTTGACCAAAAGAATTGAAGTGCGTGTTTGGGTATTTAATATGATATTTTTTGATGAAATTTTAACTTTTTCTAATCTTTTTCAACCATCTTCAAATTTGGTTAAAGGCATCATATCTAGTTGTATGATATCATAACATAACCTTTTTGTTTTTAAGAAAATACGAAAGAGATCATTAGTCCTTAAATTGTGAAAATGGATGACTTTAAAAAATATGCAATGACAATATATTGGTGCCGTTACATAAGCTAGCTATAAACAAAACAGTGTCCCCTAGAATATTTACAGTTACATGACATGGCCAAAGTTCAGATAAATATAAGTTGTAAGGATCCATGACTTTATTCTAAACGTTTCACGCAGTATGATAAAATAATACTTCTACTTTCCTCTTTTCTTGAGCTTTTGAGAGACTGAGAGTCTGAAACATTCAGGTGTCCTGAAAAAAATGTATAGTTAAAACAATTTTGCATCAAATGTTTTATGCTTTGTGTAGAACATTTTGTTGAATTGCACTGGTCGTATGATATCTTTTTAGTTGTCGGGGCACTGTTTTTCATAATGTCTTGGACTAAATATGAGTTGTAAGGATCCATGACTATTCAAAACGTTTCACGCAGTATGATAAAATAATACTTCTACTTTCCTCTTTTCATGAGCTTTTGAGAGACTGAATCTGAAACATTCAGGTGTCCTGAAAAAAATGTATAGTGAAAACAATCTTGCATCAAATGTTTTATGCTTTGTGTAGAACATTTTGTTGAATTGCACTGGTCATATGATATCTTTTTAGTTGTCGGGGGAACTGTTCTTCATAATGTCTAGGACTAAATGAGATGTAAGGATCCATGACTTTATTCAAAACGTTTCACGCAGTATGATAAAATAATACTTCTACTTTCCTCTTTTCATGAGCTTTTGAGAGACTGAATCTGAAACATTCAGGTGTCCTGAAAAAAATGTATAGTGAAAACAATCTTGCATCAAATGTTTTATGCTTTGTGTAGAACATTTTGTTGAATTGCACTGGTCATATGATATCTTTTTAGTTGTCGGGGGAACTGTTCTTCATAATGTCTAGGACTAAATGAGATGTAAGGATCCATGACTTTATTCAAAACGTTTCACGCAGTATGATAAAATATTACTTCTATTTTCCTCTTTTCATGAGCTTTTGAGAGACTGAGAGTCTGAAACATTCATGTGTCCCGAAAAAAATGTATCGTGAAAACAATCTTTCTAAACATGGCTGAAGCTTGAAAATTTCGTCTGCCACAGGCTGAGGTTAAAAATCTTTCATATTGTTTCTGAATATGACATAACACTGAATAATTTTGCCTCTGTTGAATCTGCAGAAGCGTTTAGAGTCCCTAACAGAAGCAGAGCTACAAGCACTGCTTGAAGAAGTTGAGGAAGAGAAGAGACGCTAGCTAGTGGTGCGCAGGTGAACAGAAGTAGCTTGTTTGTATATATATATACACTGAAATTTTGCCAAACTCATTGAAACAGAAATTTGAATCTATATGGAAATGGAAACTAGTTCAGAGAGGTTTTAGCTATGTTTTCTTCAGTTTACTCACGGACAAAGGGACGAGAGTTCAAAATTCTTAAGATGGTAATGCTTTTAAAATCCATATATTTTGTGACTTTTTCTGTGATTTTGTGACTCATTAAATGTCTTTCTGTGATTTTTTCTTCCTCCATTTTGGAGACCAGTGTTTATAATAGAAGTCATAAACGAGGAAAATTGTGTTTCTGATACTGATAAAGATCATGGAAAGTGGTAGAGTTGACAATCGTAATCGTGGATAAAGCTATCATTTGATGTTTCTTAATCATTGAAACATGAAATTGGATGGAAATGACGGTGGGTAATCTATACACTTTTTCTTTTCAATTTTTAAAAATAAAATAAATATAAAATCAGACAAACAAGTATTTCCATCATTCTCATTTTATTTTATTTCCTATGTTTCTTTCTGAATCGAAGATATAAGCATAAATGTTTGAATGTTATTCTTCATGCAGACATTTCACGTAACCTTCAGGGATGGGGCGAACTTGTTTTTTTAACAGCTAATGCTGTTAAGGTTGATCACTTTAACTTATTTAATTAATACGAAAGCTATATTGTTAAATTCACACATTTAATTTTGGAAAATTCTCTGTTTCTTTTTATAATGTTTTTCTATTTTTTTTCTTGGATTGATTATTTATTAATTAAAATAAAATAGATACATTATTTTGATATATATTCTTTGTATGTATTATTTTATCGCTAAAATAATCATAATGAGCTATTATTTCCTTTTTTTTCATAATCTTTTCTCGAAAGAATTCACTTATTTTAATATATTATTTACTTTTTACATTCATTATAACTCTTTGATATTTTTTCAACAGAGTGAGCGAGTCTCTTTTTCTATTAAATAATAAATTATAATTTTCAAATTAAAGTAACCATTAATTAATATGGTAAATTAATTATGGACACTTTAAATATATAGAAATATAGATGTTGAAACGAATTGATTCGAAGGGAGATTACTCTTAATTGCGATGTCAATATATCTTGATCATTATGTATAAGATTTGGTATTGGAGAGTTTGATATATACGTCATTCTCTACGAATTAGAACATAATGGACGTATGTTGATAGTTTAAGGGGGTGATTACTTGAGAAAAGTAAGAAACTTAATTAATAAGAGATAAAAGCAATAAATTAATATCCAATATTTTCTCCCGAATAATAAAATAGGATTTAAACATCTAGATGCAGACACGTGTCATCTAGATGAAGACACGTGTCATCTAGATGAAGACACGTGTCATTTTGATCTCAGTAGTATTAGTAATATTATTACTAGTTTGAAAACTTCTCCATATTCAAACACCAAACCCAATCATTACAATGCACTACTAACCTCAAGTAATTGCCCTTCTTTCTGTCACTAAACACGAAATGATTACTACATTGAATTTTTAAAAATATATATATATATATATATAAGAATTGAAAACGTCACCTTCTCTCTCTCTCTGTCCCTAACGCTTCATCCGTACTCATGGCCGTTTTTCGTTCGTCCATTCCTCCCAATCCCAAACCACCCTTCTATTTGTCCATCCTCTGAATTTCCATATCCATCTCCATATTCTCTTTCTAGATATTCTTCTCCATTTTCTTGTTGTGCGAATATCTCAATTTGTTCCTTTCGTTTTTCTTTTCGTTTTGTTTTCCCATGGAGTCGGCGAACGGTGCTGGCTTCGCTCTAAAAACCCTAATTGGGGTGTGAAATTCTTGAGAGGCAAACTCATCGGTGGAGAATGACGATTGTGACCGGAGATCGGTACCTGGTGAAGTTGGTGGAGTTCGTGGAGGAGCAAGCCGGTCCTCTCATCGAAGAAACCAAGGTCTTGAAGATGAATCCGGCGGGCCTCCACTACGTGCAATCGAGGTTAGAGGCGCTGCACGAGGTCGAGAACCTCCTCGCTGGCGCTCCGGTGGACTACCTGAGAGCGTACGTGTCCGACCTCGGCGACCACCGCGCCCTGGAGCAGCTCCGGCGGATCCTGCGCCTCCTCACCTCGCTCAAAATATTTTCTGTGCTGCCTCATCCTATTAGGGATCCCACGCCCTTGTCCTTCTTGCCTTTTGGGCGCTTGAAGGCTCTGGAGCTCAGGGGTTGTGACTTGTCCACTTCCGCCGCCAAAGGCCTTCTTGAGCTCAGGCACACGCTTGAGAAGATCATTTGTCATAACTCTACTGTGAGTCTATTTATGGAGTTCTCACAATTGTTTTAGTTGCTTTCTTTCTTCTCTATTAAGTGAGTGTTAAAAATTGTGTCCGTGTTTTCAGAATGCTCTGCGGCATGTGTTTGCTAGCAGGATAAAAGAGGTGAAGAATTCTCCTCAGTGGAACCGCCTGTCGTTTGTGTCATGTGCGTGTAATGGCTTGGTTCTCATGGACGAGTCTCTGCAGCTTCTTCCTGCGGTTGAAACACTAGACCTTAGCAGGAACAAGTTTGCAAAGGTGGATAATCTACAGAAGTGTACCAAATTGAAGCATTTGGATCTTGGTTTCAATCACTTGAGAACATTTGCACCCTTCACCCGGGTACATGGATATAATATTTGTTTTTTCCTTACATGGTCTTTTGCAATTGCATCCATAGTATGTGCTGGACCTTGTTTGTCTTGGGGGAAAATCTTTTTGCTGCTTATTGCATGTTGGGAAATTATAGTTTTCGATTTAGTTGACTGTATAGTGTTGTTGGGAAACCAGAGTTTCTTTCATTGGGTTATTTTCCTGAATCTGAAGTCATCTTTCAATTTCCGTTCTACCAATTGTAGAAGTTTCTTTTGGAAAAGTAAACGGTCCATTCATGACATTGTTGTGAATAAAGCGATCGGAATAAAAAATTCTATTTTTGTTATTCTATTAGCTTGAATCTGCCTCTCCACAATCAACATTTAATAGAGCATGGTAGTATGAAATTTTAAACACTGTGAACATGAATATCAATACTTTATTCTTCCTTTCTTGGTTGTGATAAGATTTTTCCTTCAGCAAACTTGATTGAAAATATTAGTCACCTTAGATATTGTTTTCTTTTCGATAAGGTGTTAAAAGGATTTCAACTATTAGGTTAAGGGAGAGGTGTGTCTTTGCTTCATTTAGAGAACCTGGGTTTCAAGTGATGGGATCCCAAGTGGAGTTGATTTGGTTTGGTTTTCAAAATTCTAGCTGACTCATGCACTTATTGTGTGATTGAAAATGGAAGTATTAAGCTTCTTTTAATCTTGCAATGAGAAATACGGTGTGAAAATCACTGAAATTAGAGTGGTGTGTGATTCTAGTTTTGCTTGGATGAATTTCTGTTTTCAATATTCGAGGGTTATTCTGGATGTTCCTTGCACTATTGTGTCCCCTAACTTCGAGTATGAATCTTCTCTTAGAAATTAGTTTTAGGGCCTAATGCAACCTTATAAAGTTGGCTGTATGCTGAGGATTTTCCAAGCTTTATGAAGTATTTTAAAACCAAATCTGCATTTGAAGTGGGACTAAACCACCACCGTTGAGGTTGCAATACAGCCTCCAAAGAGGCAACATCTAAGATGGACTGAGGGTAACCATAATTAAGTCAGTTTTCCAACCTTCCCCCTCAGACCCTAGGATTCTGCCTGGAATGTGGCTAATACAGGAGTACCGGTAATACTAGAGTTACCATCATGTATGTTGTATTGGTCATTTCCATGTTGATCAGACCATGCGGAAATGTATGTGTATATTCTTAAATGCCACATACTTGCCAGGGTAGATCCCTAAAAGTAGTTTATGTTCCCAACTTCCCGTGCTATATTTGTTGAGCGTGCTTCTTTTTGTGCTCTCACTAATTTTGGTGAACTATTTGTAAAGAAAAACTAAGTTTTCTTTACTTGCTTACAGATTTCAATGACATGATCCTTAAATGAAATGAGAGCAAATTTTTCGTAGAAAAGTTATTAATATCTTTCTGTTATAGTTGTATGCCTTCATTTAAGGATTTGCTCTGGAGACCTATATACAATTTTGTTGAACCGTGCAGGTTTCCCCTCAAATTGTTAAACTAGTTTTGAGGAACAATGCTCTAACTACTTTGCGTGGAATTGAGAATTTGAAGTCACTTGAAGGACTTGATCTTTCCTACAATATTGTTTCCAATTTTTCAGAGCTAGAGTTTGTTGCGGGCCTTCCATATCTTCAAAGCTTGTGGTTAGAAGGAAATCCTTTGTGTTGTGCTCGATGGTATAGAGCACATGTATTCAGCTTTTTTGCCTTCCCAGAAAGGGTAAGTCATATTGTTCACTACTCAGCTGATCTAGCTATCTGTCTTCATCTTTGTCTATTTGTTTGTCCATGTGTGCTTGTCGGTGTTGTGTGGCATGGTTTTTATTTAATTGTACCTCAATGTCACTTGCAGAGTTCATTTAATTTCTTTGTAATATCATCTTCATCTTTGTTATTTTTATCTGAATCTTTTACTCTCTTATTTCTAAACACACATCTGGTCTTCTGTGNTATTCAAAACGTTTCACGCAGTATGATAAAATAATACTTCTACTTTCCTCTTTTCATGAGCTTTTGAGAGACTGAATCTGAAACATTCAGGTGTCCTGAAAAAAATGTATAGTGAAAACAATCTTGCATCAAATGTTTTATGCTTTGTGTAGAACATTTTGTTGAATTGCACTGGTCATATGATATCTTTTTAGTTGTCGGGGGAACTGTTCTTCATAATGTCTAGGACTAAATGAGATGTAAGGATCCATGACTTTATTCAAAACGTTTCACGCAGTATGATAAAATATTACTTCTATTTTCCTCTTTTCATGAGCTTTTGAGAGACTGAGAGTCTGAAACATTCATGTGTCCCGAAAAAAATGTATCGTGAAAACAATCTTTCTAAACATGGCTGAAGCTTGAAAATTTCGTCTGCCACAGGCTGAGGTTAAAAATCTTTCATATTGTTTCTGAATATGACATAACACTGAATAATTTTGCCTCTGTTGAATCTGCAGAAGCGTTTAGAGTCCCTAACAGAAGCAGAGCTACAAGCACTGCTTGAAGAAGTTGAGGAAGAGAAGAGACGCTAGCTAGTGGTGCGCAGGTGAACAGAAGTAGCTTGTTTGTATATATATATACACTGAAATTTTGCCAAACTCATTGAAACAGAAATTTGAATCTATATGGAAATGGAAACTAGTTCAGAGAGGTTTTAGCTATGTTTTCTTCAGTTTACTCACGGACAAAGGGACGAGAGTTCAAAATTCTTAAGATGGTAATGCTTTTAAAATCCATATATTTTGTGACTTTTTCTGTGATTTTGTGACTCATTAAATGTCTTTCTGTGATTTTTTCTTCCTCCATTTTGGAGACCAGTGTTTATAATAGAAGTCATAAACGAGGAAAATTGTGTTTCTGATACTGATAAAGATCATGGAAAGTGGTAGAGTTGACAATCGTAATCGTGGATAAAGCTATCATTTGATGTTTCTTAATCATTGAAACATGAAATTGGATGGAAATGACGGTGGGTAATCTATACACTTTTTCTTTTCAATTTTTAAAATAAAATAAATATAAAATCAGACAAATAAGTATTTCCATCATTCTCATTTTATATTATTTCCTATGTTTCGTTCTTATCGAAGATATAAGCGTAAATGTTTGAATGTTACTCTTCATGCAGACATTTCACGTAACCTGCAGGGATGGGGCGAACTTGTTTTTTTAACAGCTAATGCTGATAAGGTTGATCACTTTAACTTATTTAATTAATACGAAAGCTATATTGTTAAATTCACACATTTAATTTTGGAAAATTCTCTGTTTCTTTTTATAATGTTTTTCTATTTTTTTTCTTGGATTGATTATTTATTAATTAAAATAAAATAGATACATTATTTTGATATATATTCTTTGTATGTATTATTTTATCGCTAAAATAATCATAATGAGCTATTATTTCCTTTTTTTTCATAATCTTTTCTCGAAAGAATTCACTTATTTTAATATATTATTTACTTTTTACATTCATTATAACTCTTTGATATTTTTTCAACAGAGTGAGCGAGTCTCTTTTTCTATTAAATAATAAATTATAATTTTCAAATTAAAGTAACCATTAATTAATATGGTAAATTAATTATGGACACTTTAAATATATAGAAATATAGATGTTGAAACGAATTGATTCGAAGGGAGATTACTCTTAATTGCGATGTCAATATATCTTGATCATTATGTATAAGATTTGGTATTGGAGAGTTTGATATATACGTCATTCTCTACGAATTAGAACATAATGGACGTATGTTGATAGTTTAAGGGGGTGATTACTTGAGAAAAGTAAGAAACTTAATTAATAAGAGATAAAAGCAATAAATTAATATCCAATATTTTCTCCCGAATAATAAAATAGGATTTAAACATCTAGATGCAGACACGTGTCATCTAGATGAAGACACGTGTCATCTAGATGAAGACACGTGTCATTTTGATCTCAGTAGTATTAGTAATATTATTACTAGTTTGAAAACTTCTCCATATTCAAACACCAAACCCAATCATTACAATGCACTACTAACCTCAAGTAATTGCCCTTCTTTCTGTCACTAAACACGAAATGATTACTACATTGAATTTTTAAAAATATATATATATATATATATAAGAATTGAAAACGTCACCTTCTCTCTCTCTCTGTCCCTAACGCTTCATCCGTACTCATGGCCGTTTTTCGTTCGTCCATTCCTCCCAATCCCAAACCACCCTTCTATTTGTCCATCCTCTGAATTTCCATATCCATCTCCATATTCTCTTTCTAGATATTCTTCTCCATTTTCTTGTTGTGCGAATATCTCAATTTGTTCCTTTCGTTTTTCTTTTCGTTTTGTTTTCCCATGGAGTCGGCGAACGGTGCTGGCTTCGCTCTAAAAACCCTAATTGGGGTGTGAAATTCTTGAGAGGCAAACTCATCGGTGGAGAATGACGATTGTGACCGGAGATCGGTACCTGGTGAAGTTGGTGGAGTTCGTGGAGGAGCAAGCCGGTCCTCTCATCGAAGAAACCAAGGTCTTGAAGATGAATCCGGCGGGCCTCCACTACGTGCAATCGAGGTTAGAGGCGCTGCACGAGGTCGAGAACCTCCTCGCTGGCGCTCCGGTGGACTACCTGAGAGCGTACGTGTCCGACCTCGGCGACCACCGCGCCCTGGAGCAGCTCCGGCGGATCCTGCGCCTCCTCACCTCGCTCAAAATATTTTCTGTGCTGCCTCATCCTATTAGGGATCCCACGCCCTTGTCCTTCTTGCCTTTTGGGCGCTTGAAGGCTCTGGAGCTCAGGGGTTGTGACTTGTCCACTTCCGCCGCCAAAGGCCTTCTTGAGCTCAGGCACACGCTTGAGAAGATCATTTGTCATAACTCTACTGTGAGTCTATTTATGGAGTTCTCACAATTGTTTTAGTTGCTTTCTTTCTTCTCTATTAAGTGAGTGTTTAAAATTGTGTCCGTGTTTTCAGAATGCTCTGCGGCATGTGTTTGCTAGCAGGATAAAAGAGGTGAAGAATTCTCCTCAGTGGAACCGCCTGTCGTTTGTGTCATGTGCGTGTAATGGCTTGGTTCTCATGGACGAGTCTCTGCAGCTTCTTCCTGCGGTTGAAACACTAGACCTTAGCAGGAACAAGTTTGCAAAGGTGGATAATCTACAGAAGTGTACCAAATTGAAGCATTTGGATCTTGGTTTCAATCACTTGAGAACATTTGCACCCTTCACCCGGGTACATGGATATAATATTTGTTTTTTCCTTACATGGTCTTTTGCAATTGCATCCATAGTATGTGCTGGACCTTGTTTGTCTTGGGGGAAAATCTTTTTGCTGCTTATTGCATGTTGGGAAATTATAGTTTTCGATTTAGTTGACTGTATAGTGTTGTTGGGAAACCAGAGTTTCTTTCATTGGGTTATTTTCCTGAATCTGAAGTCTTCTTTCAATTTCCGTTCTACCAATTGTAGAAGTTTCTTTTGGAAAAGTAAACGGTCCATTCATGACATTGTTGTGAATAAAGCGATCGGAATAAAAAATTCTATTTTTGTTATTCTATTAGCTTGAATCTGCCTCTCCACAATCAACATTTAATAGAGCATGGTAGTATGAAATTTTAAACACTGTGAACATGAATATCAATACTTTATTCTTCCTTTCTTGGTTGTGATAAGATTTTTCCTTCAGCAAACTTGATTGAAAATATTAGTCACCTTAGATATTGTTTTCTTTTCGATAAGGTGTTAAAAGGATTTCAACTATTAGGTTAAGGGAGAGGTGTGTCTTTGCTTCATTTAGAGAACCTGGGTTTCAAGTGATGGGATCCCAAGTGGAGTTGATTTGGTTTGGTTTTCAAAATTCTAGCTGACTCATGCACTTATTGTGTGATTGAAAATGGAAGTATTAAGCTTCTTTTAATCTTGCAATGAGAAATACGGTGTGAAAATCACTGAAATTAGAGTGGTGTGTGATTCTAGTTTTGCTTGGATGAATTTCTGTTTTCAATATTCGAGGGTTATTCTGGATGTTCCTTGCACTATTGTGTCCCCTAACTTCGAGTATGAATCTTCTCTTAGAAATTAGTTTTAGGGCCTAATGCAACCTTATAAAGTTGGCTGTATGCTGAGGATTTTCCAAGCTTTATGAAGTATTTTAAAACCAAATCTGCATTTGAAGTGGGACTAAACCACCACCGTTGAGGTTGCAATACAGCCTCCAAAGAGGCAACATCTAAGATGGACTGAGGGTAACCATAATTAAGTCAGTTTTCCAACCTTCCCCCTCAGACCCTAGGATTCTGCCTGGAATGTGGCTAATACAGGAGTACCGGTAATACTAGAGTTACCATCATGTATGTTGTATTGGTCATTTCCATGTTGATCAGACCATGCGGAAATGTATGTGTATATTCTTAAATGCCACATACTTGCCAGGGTAGATCCCTAAAAGTAGTTTATGTTCCCAACTTCCCGTGCTATATTTGTTGAGCGTGCTTCTTTTTGTGCTCTCACTAATTTTGGTGAACTATTTGTAAAGAAAAACTAAGTTTTCTTTACTTGCTTACAGATTTCAATGACATGATCCTTAAATGAAATGAGAGCAAATTTTTCGTAGAAAAGTTATTAATATCTTTCTGTTATAGTTGTATGCCTTCATTTATGGATTTGCTCTGGAGACCTATATACAATTTTGTTGAACCGTGCAGGTTTCCCCTCAAATTGTTAAACTAGTTTTGAGGAACAATGCTCTAACTACTTTGCGTGGAATTGAGAATTTGAAGTCACTTGAAGGACTTGATCTTTCCTACAATATTGTTTCCAATTTTTCAGAGCTAGAGTTTGTTGCGGGCCTTCCATATCTTCAAAGCTTGTGGTTAGAAGGAAATCCTTTGTGTTGTGCTCGATGGTATAGAGCACATGTATTCAGCTTTTTTGCCTTCCCAGAAAGGGTAAGTCATATTGTTCACTACTCAGCTGATCTAGCTATCTGTCTTCATCTTTGTCTATTTGTTTGTCCATGTGTGCTTGTCGGTGTTGTGTGGCATGGTTTTTATTTAATTGTACCTCAATGTCACTTGCAGAGTTCATTTAATTTCTTTGTAATATCATCTTCATCTTTGTTATTTTTATCTGAATCTTTTACTCTCTTATTTCTAAACACACATCTGGTCTTCTGTGTTAATCAGCTGAAGTTAGATGAGAAAGAAATTAACACTAGTGATTTTTGGAAGAGACAAATAATTATTGCCAGTATGCATAAGCAACCTGCCAGTTTTGGGATTTATGTACCTGCAAAGGATGAGGCTGTAGTTGAAGGTGCCAATATCAGAAGGGTATGTAATTAGTGAAGCTGCGTATATATTCATATAAAATGAAAAACATTTATTTATTATGTACCTTGAATTTGTTGCTAACTATTCTCATTTGTCGAAAATTAAATTTGAAAATCCAATTTCATCTGTACATTTATCTATAATATTGTGAAAAATCTAATACTTTTCATTTTGATCAGCATTAGATATTATTATGATATTATTCTTGATTTAAACAGAGAAAGGCCTGTCGTCTTGTCAGTATCAGAAATGAAGAAGAGACCACTAGCATATATTCTGAGGAAGATTCTGTCTCTTGTGCAAATGATATTATTCAAAGTAGAGAGGATCCTGATTTATCTGACAATGAACCTGAAATAGTAGATTTGATAAATAGAATTGAACATATGAAGAAAGAGCGTTCTATTAATTGGTTGAGGGATTTTAAAGACTGGATGGGTATTCCTTCTGACAAATCAGTGCAGACTATGAAAGAAGGCAGCACTACACTGCATCATCAGAAGGGAAATTACATCAGAAACAAGACAAATCCTGAGCAGTCTGGTGAAGTCTCTAGATATGCTTCAGACTCTGTTCTAGCCTCAGGGGATGACAGTAGCATGAATATTTTAGAATCTGATAGTTCTTTTGTAGATACATCTGCTAGTTTTCATAGGCAACAACACTTTGACTATAGAGGTTTGCTTGGTAATGCCAGTGGGGCCTCACTTTTTGACTCGGGAGGAGTGGACATGGAGAAGCTTAAATCCTCAATTGAGGGCATTGATAGTTCACTTTCACAAACTAGAAGTTCTCATGCTGACACCCTGACCACAGAAGGGGCACAAAGAATGACTGAAAATTTCAACATCTCACCATTGACTATTATTCATGATATATCTGGGTCTCAGTCATCTGCTTGCCCAGCATCTCCTCCTCATTTTCAAGAAGACCTTCTTCATCGAAGGCAACACCTGGTGGAAGA